ATTTTTATATGACGCAGTGTGTGTTCCATCATTAAAAGCAATATCTTTATGGGGTCTTAAAATTTTAATTTTACAATGTAAAGAATAAATTTTGTCCGTTAATTACTAAATCATAGTATTAATTACTAAAGCGTTGTATTAACGTAAAAGGTTTTACAGAAAGCAAAAACATAAAGCTTGCACAAAGCTATGTATAATATGTATCCTTACGTTTAATTTAGTATGTAGTACTTGTCTATTATTATTATTGTTTAGACCCAAAAATGGTCATTTGAGACGGCATCCAATCGCCTTCGACTTAACGAATCGCCCGATGGTGCTAGGTGTCACGCGCGTCGCGGGGAGGGGGCATCGGTATGCAGCTTCCCAGCGTTTGGCGCTCGTGGGCGAAAACAGTAGCTTGAGTGCAGCGACGCCATCGCAACGTAACGTATTTAGGGTGGCCGTGGCAGCGATTTCGTGCGATCAGTTTTGGTTTTATGGTCTAGATTTTCAGTATTTGTGCGCGTTACTTCGCTACTTAAATTGTTTCGTGAAGACCGCCTCGGATTAGGTTGTCTAAATATTGCAGTGAGTCTACTCGGGCCGCGTGATAATTGCCTTAGAAGGTCGCGTTCGGTTCTCGAAATAATTTGTTGCTGAGTGAACGGAAGTGAACTTTGACCCACCGTTCATCAGTCGTGCCGCGTGTTACGTTTTTGATTATAATTAACGGGATTTAGTTGAGTTTTGAAGTTAGTTAAATGTACAATAAAGTTGCTAGACTGCAATAGTGAATTGAAGAGAGAATCATTGTGAGGAACTACCGGTTGTAAAGGACGCGTGTGGAATTATAACGTCGATTTAAGTGCCTCTCATTTTTGCGTTGTTTTTTTTTGTTTGTTTTACGTGTCAACGAGGCTGAATTTTGAGTTTGGGCGATTAATTAACGTCGTTACAATTAATTAGCGTCAAGTGGTATAGTGGTAAAGCATAAGTGCATTCTGACAATATTAATTCGCGTCGATGATTTGCTTTGTGCCATTTGATTTAACTCGGAGATATTTTCCTGTGTCGGTTAAAACCGCTAAACTTTGTGAACCGCGAGAACCAGCGTTCGTATTAGATTATAGATTTGTGCTAAGGGACACTAGACTTTGAGTGACACCGAGTGACGCCGCTAGAGTGATACCACATAGGGTGGCGGTGCTGGAGTCAGGGTTGCTGCTGATTAAAAAGGGCTAATTCAGGTTAAACATATATACACTTCTCACACACTACTTACATTCACTACACCTAACGCCTGAACGAGCCTGGAGGTCCGTCTTCGCTTCTGAACCAGGTAAGTCGCATTAAGTACCTAATCCATATATCCATATATATTAAATATCCATAGGCATTTGAGCCCCACACTTAGTTGTCCGTCGAATCTAACAGCTGTATGGGCCCCTGTATGGTCGACCTTAGTCTGGGCAACTAGGTGCGTGTACAATTATTATTCGGTAATTGCACGTTTTCCTAGCGTTTTATCTATATAACTACATCTACGTGCCGGAGCCAAGTAAATGCAATGTGTGGTATTCAAATTTTATGTTGAAGGAGTGATGATTGAGTTGATGTTCCATTTTCTTCGATTTTAAAATTGTTAATGTAGTATTAGTTTAAGTCATATTGTCTCCTTCTGTATTTTAGAGGTAGAAAATACGGACACACGGGTCTTGATCAAGCCAACAGGAATAAGAAAAGACGAGACACAGCGGTTAAGAAGATATGAGCGGTTTCTTCAAATATTTTCGCCACGGGTTTTATTCACAGTGGTATTGAAACAATAATGTGTGAGGTTCTTGCTTTTTTTTTTAATAAACGGACGACATCCAAATACTTAAAAAACTTTGAAATAAATTTATTGATATTTAGCTTGATGAATTTTAGTTCGACGTGTAGTGTGGTGGTGGAATTGACTTCGTCAGTTTATTTTTAGCAATGTGGCAACACTGACAAGCACGAAAGTTTGGAGAACCGCCTAGCTAAAACGGCCGTACTTTACGCCAACACGCAATGGATTGGTGTGGCGAACTAACTGATTCATTGAAACATGTGCCCAGCAGTGGGACGTATATGGGCTGCACTTTACTTTTACTTATATCTTAGGTCGGTGAAAAAGTTTCTTTGTATTTTATATACAAATTCAAGACATTTTTTTTTCAAAGTTAAACTACATTTAATTATAATATACTAGATGGTACCCGGCGCATTTCCGCCACAGAAAAAATGTGGTTATGACGTTTTATATTTGGAAGGGTTATAATGTTTAAGTAGGAATGATACATGTCATTCTATTTCAAAAAATGTATTATTCATTGAAATTGAATGACATATTATGACTTTCAAATAAATGTGTCGGTATGAAACGCGCGCCACCAACTGTAATTTAATTGTACTATGTCTATAACCTTTTCTAAAATTTTGTCAACTTATTGCTCGCACTTGGCAAGCAATAGGTTGACAAAATTTTAGCCCAATCTGATGAACAATAAGGCAGCGCATAAAATACAAACAAAGAAAAAGTAATCTTTATATATTAGATATATGCCATTTTATTTGATAACTTGTTGCCATCTTGCAGGTAGTGACATAATCCCGTTGCTGTAGAAATATTTAAAAAGAAAAAAATTTTGATCAATAAAATGCGACAAGTAGTTTTGACAGTTCTCTCTTGATATTAACTTAAACACTACCCAAAGAATTCTGAAGAGACCGAATCAGGTGAAAATCTGAGGATACAAGGTCAGGACTATATAGTGGATGAATTAACTCTTCCCAACTAAGGAGAAGGCAGTAGAGATCCGAATCGATGGTTTCGCCCAGCGGTAAAAGCTCATAATAAACGATGCCCTTCCAAGCCCACCATACACACAGCATCACCTTATTGCGTGTTAATCTGGGTCTCGCTACAGTCTGTGGAGCTTGACTACCCTTTGACCATGATCTTTTGCGCACGTTCTTGTCGTACGACATGGCAAAACTATAAGGGTTCCTTGTTGTGTAACTATTGAACCCTAAAAATGGATCAGTTTCATTACGTTTTAATAGAGAATCGCAAATGAGTAAACGATTCATTAGGTTTCTTTTAGTGAGCTCGGCACCACACCTAAATAACGAGCTTTTTTTGTATAGCTAGACTTTTGTTCAAATCGATCAAAACTGTTTTGTGGTCAATCCTCAATTCCTTGGCCATGTCGTAACTACTAATATGCCGATCTTGCTCCACTTTTTCAAAAATGGCATCGACTTTATCGTTATGAGGCCGACCAGAGCGAGCTGCATCTTTGAAATCAAAATTCCCGTAGTGTAAACGCTTGAACCAAATTTGTGCTACTCTTAATGACATTGCATTAGGTCCATAAACGTCGCAATTGTTTTTCGCGGCTTAAGTCGCATTTTCCCTTTTTTGTAATAAAACTTGTGAAAAATTTCTTCATTAGATTCACTCATTTTGGCGGACAGAAAACAATTGAAAATGGCGGTAAAGTGTTTTTTACATTTTCTTTTTCTTAATGTCCTACAGGTATTGATATTAAAACCAGCCAGATACAAACAGTACAACCAAAGAGATTTTTCTTCAATTTTATACAAACAAAATATGAAGAAACTTTTCCCGACCAATTATTTGCAATTTCTTTGATATAATAAGGGCTCATGCCCACGAGACGGTTTTTCGCCGGAGCTAGGCCCGGCGTAAAGCCAGGTCTACGTCCGGTCGTCAGTATTGTGTGGGACATTATGAACCCAAACACACGACGCCGGTGCTAGCGCCGGCTCACCGCGCAATCGGGCGCGGTGCTCGCCGCGTCTACGGCCGGTGCGCAGTGCTCTAGTGGAGTATGGGAGAGCGCATGTACACGAGACCGGATCTACGCCCGGCGCGTGCGGACTACCTACGCGCAACGCAATAATTATGGAGATCAACCACGAATTATTAATTCATTTGGTAGATGAGTTCATGTTTAATTTGGGTTCCAAAATATATAACATTTTGTTAAACGTTTCTTTTTTCATTCGAAAGTACTTATATACAAATTTCTAGTCATGTTTCATTAGTTGCTTCTGAATAATCGTATGAAAAGCACCATAATCTTCTCTTTCGGTTAACACGGGATGTATCCAATATCGTCTTTGTATTTTTTATCGTCTTTTTTTAGCTTTTTACACATGTGCCTTGCAATAATACATTTTCTCTTTTTAGCACTCAACATTTTGTACGCCACATTTTACAGAATAAAAAGAGCGTATGACGGCTGCACCGGAAACCTGAAACCGGGCCGTGTACAAACAGACTTGTGTGCAAGCTTGGACGGTTTCTACCCGGCGCCGTAATAAACCGGGCCGTGTTAAAACCGTCTCGTGGGCATGAGCCCTAAGGGAGCAGAAAGTCACAATAGGTTGGTAATCGGTTTATTGGCCCCGATATTTATAATATCGAAGCAGTGTCCTCTGTGTAGAAAAACTTAGCGTTAGTTAGACAACAAAAACTCAGATATTTAAAGAAATCTGTATTTTTTATCATTATTAAGGTATTTTACTTATGACATTAATAAGAGCAGTTTTTCGTTTCATTTTACTCTATTCAACTATAGATTTCAACTATAGAATACATTCTTTTTAATATTGTAAAAAACCAGTAATAGTAGCCTACCCTATAAACATTTAGGTGTTCGCACCAGACATTGCATTGTCACCGTGGTGACGTAAATGATATGTTAGAGACTATCGTATCAGTATCAACTTGTTTGGTTGCATTTTGTTGTTGTATGAAAGAATTTCAGATAAAAGTTGTATGAAACATGCATATCGTATGTATGTTTCATATAACTTAATCCCTTTTTCTTCTATATATGTACAGAATAAAGTAGTTATATTTTGCTTGCCCATATTTATAGCTTCCTGTATTTATAACATCTGATGATACCATGATGTGAAAACAGTAGAAATAAATAAAAAATATATTTAAATTTGCGTACCAATTTTGTCATCGCCCGCCTGTACAAACTTATAACGGTGCTGTTAGAAAATGCTTCATACTCCAGATCTATTGCACACTGCTCAACATCTTTACGCTTCAGTGGTTTCTCGGGTTCATCGACATTCTTCATATTTGCTAAGTTTGTATTAAGCGCGTCAATCAAGAGTGCTAAAAAACTTTCCCTACTTGCAACTGATAATCCGTTGACCTGCAAAATTAAAAATTTATTTGTGCATAAAGGAAGACAATTTAATTTTAATACATATTTAATTGCTCGGTTGCTGGTAGAGCCATGCTGCAGCTATATTACTGGTATAGTTGTAGCACGAATGGGTCGGCTCGACCGGGGAAGGACCACGCTCTCACAGAATACCAGCGTAAAATAGCAGCTAAACACTGCTGTGTTTGGTATGGTGAGTGTAGAGAACCGGAGACCCCTTTTACTGGAAAAGAGGCATCCCATCTTATTCCTCACGGGAGTAGTAGTGATAACGCATCTGCATTTTGATTCTTTATTGAGGATATATGTAGATGTCTATGGGTCCCAGCAACCACTTACCATCAGGTGAACTGTGTGCTCGTTTATCACCCTAATTCTATAAAAAAGGTATTATCTTTGGAAAGATATAGATTACTTATAATAAAGTTCCTTTCTGCAGCACCAAAGCACAACTATTCTGTTTTCTTTGGCACCGCAGCTGAACCATCCTTCTATACTTAAGCTTTGGATTGAAATTGAATAGCATATTATAGCAAATAAGCGGTAAAAGAGCAAGCAAATGAAAGTTTATTTTTACCGCATATTTTCCGTGAGCGAAATTATCAAGTAGAATTGCTAAGACAAGTCATAGATGAAATAAGTATTCCGAGTATGCGAGACCTCAACGTATCCTAATGACATAAAAAATTCCATCACAACATCTATTTCCATGAGTGTAAATAATATGGCGAGACTATGGGAAATGTCCGGAAGATTTTGTTGAGATGGTATCTATACCAGATGCAAAATACCTAAAACGGTGGCGGAAAGCAGCGCCTAAGGTTTGAGATCCAGCGGTGGACTGTTTGCTGAGTTGTTAAAGGTGAAGAAAACTCCAGACCTAAATTTAACAATGAGTAGCATAAAAGACGCACAATGTAGCAATACTGCGAAGAAATAAAACAAATTTTACGGATTTTATCGCGTACCACTTTCAACTGTTTTTAACTGCTGACGTTTTAAGTGCTTTGCAGCACCCACGGCAAGGGAGAGACGGAGGTGTTTAACGACATAGTTTATCCGGGCTACCTTCAGCTTTTAATTATTAATTATAGTTCGATCTACACATGATATATATAGTATATAAGTTCATAGTAAATTTTATACATGGTAGAGCCACGCTACAGCTATTTTAATAGTATACTAAACAGTTAAATGATTATACGGTATAATCGTATGTATCAATTACCTTAGTACTGGTATTTTCAGCAGCTCTACATTTTGAGTTCACAGCTGTAACGATGTCGCTTTTTTTATTATTTTCGGTAACACGTTTTTTCCTTTCCGCGAACTCCTTCATTATAAGCGCCTTGGTTTCTTCGCCTACGCGGCGACTACTTTCACCGTCAGATTCATCACCATCTTCAGCGTAATAAGACTCCATCTCTCTTTAAAAGAAAGTATTAATTTAAGTTAATAAAACTATAAACATAATACATATGTAATATTCTTAAAATGACCCTCCTGGAAATGAAATTAAATATATTTATTTCTTTGACGTAAGAAAATAAAATATAGTTCGTCAAAGATTTTTTTTCAACTCTTTCCTTTCCAAATGAGGTTTTCTAAATGAGGACAAGAAACGGCGAAAGAAAGTTCGCAGGTATCCTCTTTTTGTCATGTTTTTTTTTTATTAATAATACAACAGCAGTAGTATATACAGAATGGAAAACAATAACAGACCCATCCAACTAAAGTATGTTCTATGATGTATTCAAAAAATTATGTTAAAATTTGAACCCGAGCAGCCCACCACCCACATAGCAGCACCTGTTCACAAGTATTACGCATGTGGCAACCATAGCTCTCGAACTCGACCATATTAAAAGGAAATCTACCACCCGTCACTTGTTGCCGCCGTAAGCAGAAACCTTTAACTAGTCGCGCGGATGTCATTTGTCATCCAATATAACTAAACCGGCGAAATTTTTGATTTTTATATGAGAATCGCTGGCGCCAATTTTAGTATTACATAAAGTATCTTTCATGATAATAGTAACGGCCGTGCCACTCAGATGGCTCGATTGTGTCAGAAGTTCAAAATTGTAGGTGGAGGACATTAGTTTTCATCACTGCAATTTTATTATTTTTTTTTTCAAGATTATGCTTGTACTATTGTATAATTATAGTACCCCTAGTAATAAATGACATTTTAAAAGTTATAAATACTATGCTCCATAAACCGGCGGCAGACATAATTCGGAAAAATCCTTTGAGCAATAGTTCTGTGCAAAGACGAATTGATGAAATGGCTGAAAACATTGAAGAGTCATTGTGCAATCATCTGAAGACTATTCAGTTTTCAATTCAGTTGGATGAGTCCACTTTACCAACTAATGAAGCATTGTTGCTGTCTTCCTGAGCTTTATTAAAGATGAAAAAATATGTTAAGAACTATTATTTGCTAGAAATTCAGAGACAGCATAAAAGGAGAAACCATATTTATAACACTGTAAGTTTTGTGATGAAAAAGGTATTCCCTTGAAGAATATTATATCAGTTGCTCGAATGGTGTTGCAGCTATGACGGGATGTCAAAAAGGCTTCATAGCGTACTTAAAAAACAAAATTCCAGATGTGCTTGCTGTACATTGCGTTATACATCGACATTTGGTTGCTAGAAATTTAAGTGAACGACTGATTCAATCATTGCAACATGTCATCAGAGCAGCCAATAAAATCCGAAACAACTCTTTAAATGACAAATTATTTAATCAGCTTTGTGTTACTAATGATGAAGATTTCAACCGATTGATTTTTCACACAGAAGTGCGTTGGCTATCAAAAGGAAATTGTCTAACTCAATTTTACAATCTGTTTGACTCTGTTGTAGAGTTCTTGGAAAACAAAGATACAGAATCGCGCGACAACTTTATCACATCAAAGAATGATGTCGCATACCAGACAGACCTTTATAAATTGCTTAATGATATTAATCTCCAACTTCATAGCCAAGCTGCTCTTACACAAGACGAGTATCAGCAGACGTGAGTTCCATAATTGTCCCAATTTATCAGTATCCTGCAACAACGACAACTTGCTTGTCTACTGTCAACATTTGGAAAATCTTCACAGTGATTTCATTGAAATATTCTAAGATATTTTGAAATTGAAAATACCAGACTGGGTGTCAGATCCTTTTTCAAATGTCAACATAGCAGTATCACCCCAACTGGAAGAACTTATAGAACTCACAACGAACAAGAAAAAATAAAAATCAAATAAAAAATGGCTACCAAGAATTTTGGCTACAAAAGTCAATCCCGCAGTTGTACCCTGTGTGGCGGCGCTGTCGTCGCGCCACAAGCGAAACACATCGAAGCCTAAATCGCACTAACAAAGTTCCGAAGTTAAAGCAGTGTACAACATCTAACGTAATTAACGCACATCCTCAGATACCCCAGTTAGTATATTATGTTATAATCATTATACATACACTGAATTCTTAGTTAAACATGTTTATGCATTGATTATTTATTAAATTAGTTATACTAATTCCAGAAGAATGTTGTGGTCACCGTACAAAACCACGAACGCTAGGTATAGGTCTCGCTAGCCTAGAAAAAAGCCGACAATACATGATTGGTTACGTTAAAGAAATACCTACCTATGAACATTAACAGATCTTAGAACTCCGTGCATTGAGTTGTTTATTTAAGTCTAGTAAACATTTGATTGCATCTTTCAATCACACTTTTCAAGCATTGGACTTTCGACTCTTGTTTTCAATATTCGTAACAAAATGTTATGAATTTGCATAACATTGTAATTGTAATTGTAAATAATAATGAACTGCTAAAACTAAGAAGCAATACGACAAGATAATTGAAAGACGGCGTGTTTAAAAGATGTGAATCAAGATTACAATAATTTTAAGAATCAAATATTTAACTTACTGATAGCCTAAACGTTGTATTTTGATACATTTTCAAAATGTCCACCACGTGGCGCGGTGGCTTAGCAATTGAGTTGCAGCGCTAAGGACTGCGGGTTCGAATCCCGCACGGAACAATATTTGTATGGCCTACAAATAATTATTCCGGGTCTGGATGTTTGTCCATGTGCAATTTATGTTTGTACACTGCCTCCACAATACAAGAAAAAATCCTAGTGTGGAGGTTACATTTTAAAAAAGAAAGAAAATAATTTAGAAAGCAATTCAGTGTCATTTTTCACTATTCTAAAATCGTTCACTCATAGAATTACTATTTTTAGGTCCTCGGCACTTGTTGTCTCACTAAAATAAACTAATGATTTAATACGTCGCCATAAAAAAAAATCAAGAGGCGTCAAATCAGGTGATCTGGGAGGTCAATGGCCTGGCCGCCGCGACCTTTATAAGGCACTCCAAACTGTGTATTTGTAAAGACTTTAACATACTTGAAATAAGTATGTTAAAGTCTTTTCTAAACAATTTTCTTTATTTTGTATTGAATGACGGAATTTGTATTAATACAAATAAAACTGCACTTTTAAAAGTCTTATTGCCTTGAGTTACGGTCCATTTCAGTTTGTTTTGACTGTACAGGTTTAGTGTGACTGTAAATTACGTAGTTTCAATTATTTTTGGGATAAAAAAATTACCTATATTAAAAATGATAGAAATCGATTCAGTAAACGATTCTGAACAAACTACTTTCTCAAAGTGCGTTAATCATGTTACGTGTTGTATATACAATAGCTCCGGACTACCACTCGGAGCGTTGCCCGCTCCCCGGGCAGAACACCTTGCCCGGCGGGAGATCTCCCCTTTTCCTTCCTACGGCCAAAGTGGTGACCCCGACGTGATATGAACACGCAACCAACAACCTTCGGAAACTACAACTTTAAATCTTCGTCATCGTCCTCAAGTACCCCATTCATTATCTCCCGAGCAGATATTGTCTGCAGTCTTCACATTCTGCAAACCATCTAGCTTTACAAAGGTTCATCGCAACACTGGAATAATAATGCTTCCTGTTCCTTCAAGCTACTCTCTGCGCTACAGTGTTCGGCACGGCTCTGAGCCTTACTGCTCGCCTCTACTTCACGGCACTCTCGCAGATTACTTGCCTTCTTCTCGACTCACTGCTGACTACAAGGGAATCCCTGGCACTTGATCCGGCTTATCGTTCTCACCGGCATCACTTGCAAGTGCGTAGTACGGCATGTATTACACATCGGCATATCGTTCGCACCGGCGTCACTTGCCCTTACGCACACAGCATGCATTCCTCAGGCGCTGTCGTCGCGCCACAAGCGAAACACATCGAAGCCTAAATCGTGCTAACAAAGTTCCGAAGTCAAAGCAGTTAATATAGAATAGCTCCGAACTACCACTCGGAGCGTTGGCCGCTCCCCGGGCTCCCGAGATCGTTCAACGATTTTTGATAGCATTCCCATCATCATATTTGTGTGAACGTGAATTTAGCGCTGTGACAACGCTGCTTACTAAAAAAAGAAATCGTTTGCATGTTACCGAACGCGGCGACTTACGACTGTTTTTGAGTAAAATCGAACCTGATATCAACAAACTTGTTAAAAATCATCAAATCTATCCATCTCATTAGATTAGTTTTAAAACTAAAATTGATTACGTAGGCGGGATGATAAGTAATTAGCCCCTGCTATTTAAAAAGTTTAAATTAAAAAAATATATGTCATTTTTAAATTCGTACCTCTGTCCACCTGTGTTCTAAATTTGATTCGGTGGCGTGAAAAAATTTTAGTGATTTTTTGTCATTTGAAAATATATTTCGTCAACTGTTTTCAAAATGGATAAAATTGAACAAAGAGCGGTGATAAAGTTTCTTCATATGAAGGGCATGAAGGGAAAGATATCTATGACGAGTTAAAGAATGTTTTGGGTGAATGTGCTTCTTCTTATGCCATAGTAAAAAACTGGGTGGCTGAGTTTAAACGCGGTAGTACATGTGTTCAAGATGAAGCCCGCCCCGGGCGCCCAAAAAGCGTCACGACTCCGGAAATGGTCATGAAAGTATATGATATGGTTTTAGCAGATCGACAATTGAAGTTATCTTTATAGCTGACACTACAGATATCTCAAAAGAACGGATAAATCATATCCTAAGTGAGGAATTAAATATGAAAAAGTTATCGGCCCGTTGGGTGCCGCGATTGCTTACGCACGATCAAAAAAGGATTGGGGTGCAAAATTCAAAAGAATGTCTGGACCGTTTTCAGAGTAATAAGGCCGATTTTTACGTCGATTTGTAACAACAGATGAAACATGGGTTCATCGTGGTTCGTCGTTCGACGTGGTCCTTCACTGCTGGCCGTATGAGGAAGCTCAAGGTCGCTCATCGAGCTATGGAGAGGGCTATGCTCGGGGTTTCTCTGCGTGATAAACTTAGAAATGAGGATATCCGCAGTAGAACCAGAGTAACCGACACAGCCCAACGGATTAGTAAGCTGAAGTGGCAGTGGGCCACTTCATATAGCTTGAAAAACCGACAACCGATAGGGAAAAAACGTTCTCGAGTGGCAGCTTCATACCGGTAGGCGAAGTGTAAGGCGACCCCTCACTAGATGGAGTGACGACCTGGTAAGACATGCAGGAAGTCGATGGATGCATGTGGCTCAGGACTATGCTTTGTGGCATTCCTTGGGGGAGGCCTATGTTCAGCAGTGGACTTGTGAAGAGCTGCAATGATGATGATGATGAAATGTAAGCATCTATCCGTTTTTCCTTCTTTGTTGGTATGAGGATATTTGAAGCAAAAAAAAAACCGGCCAAATGCGAGTCAGACTCACGCACCGAGGGTTCCGAACAAATCCGTAGGTTAAAATTATTAAAAATATTTTTATTATATGATGTAACTAAAAATTTATGCCTTTCGCAATTTTTCCTTTATCTGTGCTATAATTCGTTACTTCGTACCAAATTTTAAGATTCTGAGTTCACGGGAAGTACCCTGTAGGTTTTGATTCCCTTGCGGCATAATATTTGCGGCATAAACGGCTGTATCTTTTGATTGCGTTGGCTTATAAGTTTGATTTTTTCACAACTCTAAGGGACAATAGACTTGAGTATTTGATATGAATTTCAGCTTGATACCTCCACGCGTTCCTGAGAAAAAGGGTCCCGACAGACAGACAGACAGACAGACGGACAACAAAGTGATCCTATAAGTGTTCCGTTTTTTCCTTTTGAGGTACGGAACCCTAAAAATAATAAAATTTTACAAAAATTGAGTAAAATTAGTTGGCGAGAAACTCTGCAATTGCATTTGGTATCTGGCATGATAATAATTTTCTTATTATTTGTGAATTAGAGAGTGGGGTGCGGTAATGCACGTGTGGGCTTGCCGCTGTATTACCGTACATTTAACGCGGGTCACGAAGCCGCTAGTGTTACCTGAGCCCGTCGCGGCCGTGTCCGTACAGCGAGTGCGAGTGCTCGGCGGCGTGCGCCACGAAGCCGCTAGTGTTACCTGAGCCCGTCGCGGCCGTGTCCGTACAGCGAGTGCGAGTGCTCGGCGGCGTGCGCCACGAAGCCGCTAGTGTTACCTGAGCCCGTCGCGGCCGTGTCCGTACAGCGAGTGCGAGTGCTCGGCGGCGTGCGCCACGAAGCCGCTAGTGTTACCTGAGCCCGTCGCGGCCGTGTCCGTACAGCGAGTGCGAGTGCTCGGCGGCGTGCGCCACGAAGCCGCTAGTGTTACCTGAGCCCGTCGCGGCCGTGTCCGTACAGCGAGTGCGAGTGCTCGGCGGCGTGCGCCACGAAGCCGCTAGTGTTACCTGAGCCCGTCGCGGCCGTGTCCGTACAGCGAGTGCGAGTGCTCGGCGGCGTGCGCCACGAAGCCGCTAGTGTTACCTGAGCCCGTCGCGGCCGTGTCCGTACAGCGAGTGCGAGTGCTCGGCGGCGTGCGCCACGAAGCCGCTAGTGTTACCTGAGCCCGTCGCGGCCGTGTCCGTACAGCGAGTGCGAGTGCTCGGCGGCGTGCGCCACGAAGCCGCTAGTGTTACCTGAGCCCGTCGCGGCCGTGTCCGTACAGCGAGTGCGAGTGCTCGGCGGCGTGCGCCACGAAGCCGTCGCGCTCGAGGCGCGCACTCATGGCGCGGCGCTGGTGCTGCTCGAGCGCGCGCCGCACGGCCCGCTCGTCGCTGCAAGCGTCGCAGCGACCCGCGCACCGAGGCGTCTCCTCGCCGAAATACTCAGCGAATGTCTTATGCCGACATCTGGCGGACGAAAATGTTGCTCTTGTTATATTCATCTTAAGCTCAAGCCTCATTCCTAATTTAAGCTTAGATCAAATAATACTAAACTTATAGGATAATAGTCAGGCCTTGTAACGAATCCAAAATAACTGAAAGCGTAAGGCTACTAAAAAGTCAATGTATTGTTAGGAATGAGGGTAGAAAATAAAAGAAAATACGAAGAAGTGAGTGAAGAACTCTAAATCCCAACTTATTCAAGAAGCATTAACAATGAATCAGTTATTCTACGAGTCTTAATTGGTGCAGAGTACTGTTCTATGTGTGTGCGGAGAGGCTGACTTGCTGTTGGTTTGCATACCTTAACTAGTTTAGTAACTTAAGTAGTTTAGAGTACTTTTCTAACTGCTTACTGAGTGTCGGCGCCGTTACGACAGCACCGACGGTGTTTGCGGGGAGTATGTGAAGTGCGGGGGGTTTCTCACCGCCACGCCTGGGACCGGCACTCGCCGATAGCTCGCGACCCGATCGCCACCAAATATTTTGTATTTTTCATTCCTTTTAAATATACAATTTGCCTATCGTGTGAGTCGCCTATTTTATTCATGTTCCCTAATTGAACATAGTGGCGACCGTGATAAATTAAAATATCGAATTCCGATTTCGCCGCGTAATACGGTCCAAAGGTCGTAGCACTTACCCCGCGTTTACAACGTCGCGAACGCAAGTACTACGAGCTACGAGAACAAAGGAAGCCATGCCGATCTACTACATCAGCTAAGAAGATTATTAAATTGGCGTACCATCCCGAGTCCTAAGAACAACAAAGCGGTCAAGAAGAATTCATCTGGAGCGGAGAGAAGACAAGAGGACAGCTATTGAGAACCGGCCAAGCTGAGGTCCAGCGGAGTCTACGCGCCACATCAGCGGTTTTTGCCAACTAAAAGTGAGCCCGTTCCTATTATTTTACCTCTTCGTGTCCCACTATTCCTAAAAATTCTATTTGTGTGAACAGGGAAACAAGGAATCTAGTCCTATTTTTGTTGCCTTACCCTACCTACCTATTCTTAAGCAACATCCTTTATATTCCTTGTCTATCTTATACCCTTTCGTATATAAAACTGCTAATCTAAATAAACTATTCCTACTCAATAATCCTACCAAATAAAATACCTATTAAAACAATCCTAAAAGAATTACCTAGATAAACCTACCGACAATTTACATACCTAACGAGTTAAAATCACCTATTTACACCTATTTGCTTACCTATCAGCTAATTGTCTATCATTTCTTACTATTATTTAGCCGTATCATTTGCTAGGTAATCAGTGCTATTTTTCAAGCCGCCTATAATTTGCATTCATTGCGCCTATTTTACGACTTGAAAGTCTTCACTAGCATTTAATTAGTTGGTAGCCACTGTTAAATAGTTAGAATTTAAATAGCTGAACCTATTTCTTTAAACGTAAGCATACATATGTACATAGCTACGCAAAAATTTGAGCTTAACTCCTCAATGCAAGTAAATTCACTTCTCGCTATTCACTGTTAGCTGTTTATGCACGCAAAGTCATAGTCTTAGTCATCACTATAGCATAATCATTCGCTAAGCCCTATATTACGCTAATTAAACCATTATTTGCACAAATCAATTAAATTTACGATCAACCTTGCTTCCCGTTATTATTTTATGTACGGAGATATCTGCAAAGCATTCCAACAATCAATTTCAGCTACGGTGCAGCGTTCGCTCGAGACTATCATCGCATCCCGTGTCACTGCCAGCACTGCGGGCTCACGTCGTGGTACTGGACCGCGGGCGTCGCGCGTCATCAATCCCACCTTTCACCGCGCTTCTGCTGATTTTGAACCGGTTTCCGTCACAGCGGCCACGAAGCGAGGAACGTATTGTATGCAATTCTTATTTATTTGATTAGTACAGCGCATAACTAGTTGTTTTGATTGTCTGCGCGTTAACTTTGCTAGTATGGAGGCAAAGTACAAAACTCTTAATTTAAAACGCGCTTCAATTAGAGGCCGTGTTACGAAATTTAATAACCATTTAGAAGAATTAAAAGGTAAAAAGCTTACTCCTACGGAAGTTAGCGTGCTATCGCAGCGATTAGTTAAAATTGAGACTTTATTTGCCGAATTCGATAGCGTGCAAAATCAGATTGAAGCATTGGAGGAAAATAATTTAAGCTTAGAATTGGATACCAGAGAAGTTATCGAACAAGCTTTCCACAATTCGATCGCATTGGCTCAGGAAATTATTTCCGTAAGCAGTACGACAAAAAAGTCGTCGCTTCAGCATAGCAGTATTTACACAGCTGATGAAGATGATCACGAAGTTATCGGCTTTCGTTTACCAGTCATTAAAATTAATAAGTTTGATGGTACGTTCAACAAATGGTTGGAATTTCGTGATACGTTCAGTTCTCTGATACATAATAATACAAAAATAAAAAATATACACAAATTTCATTATTTAAATTCCTATCTAGAAGGTGAAGCTGCTCGTGTAATATGTAATTTAGAAGTTTGCGACAATAATTATCCTGAGGCATGGAGTCTTCTTTGTGAGCGTTTTAATAATATTCGTCAATTAATAAATAATCATTTGAAGTCTTTGTTTAATATTGAGCCGTTGCGTGAGTCTGACAAGTCATTAAGATTTCTAGTAGACCACGTCACAAAAAACCTACGTGCTTTAAATACTTTAAAACAGCCAACTGATCATTGGGATACCCTGATCATATTCATAGTCTCAGCGAAATTAGACAGCAACACGCGTGTTAAATGGGAGGAGTACATTCAAGCTAATGTTAATGCTTCGGATATGGCTAGCCTAGATGATTTCATGACTTTTATTAAGGGCCGCGCTGAAGTTTTAGAGTCTGTTTATCGCAGTAAACAAGACAAAAATATAAAGTCAAACCCGAATCACAATCAAGGCGTCAAACAAAATCCCGTTTCTCATACTAAGTCATTCGTTAGCGCTGAGCAGGGCGACTCATCAGCAACTGCCCCTCACAAGTGTATTTTCTGTGGTCAAGGTCATCGTAATTATGAGTGCTCACAATTTCAATCGAAATCTATTGACGATAGACTTTCATTAGTGTCCGAGCTAAAGTTGTGTCCCAACTGTTTGCGCAAAGGGCATAATACGCGCGCATGCAAGCTTCCAGGTACGTGCAAGATATGCAAAAAACGTCACAATACCTTTTTACACAAACCTACGGATTCTGATACCAATGTGGCAGTCACTAATGTTGCAGTCTCTGAGCCAGTTTCAATGTCAGCTGTTTCTGCTTCTGAGACACTACTATGTACGGCTTTGGTTGATATTTTTAATCCCAAAACAATCAATTACATTACCACTAAAGCTCTCTTAGACAACGGTAGTCAGTCTAGCTTTATTACAGAATCACTTAAATCAAAGTTAAATTTAACTTCTTCCACGTCTGATGTTAGGAATGTGGTCGGCATATGTAACACTATTGTCAAGCTTAATGCTGAACGTTGCAATGTTCGAATTCATTAAAAGGTAGGTTCTTTCAGCGTTATGACGTCATGTTTAGTCATACCCCAAATATCAGGTAAGATACCTAAGTCTCTTGTGTCTATTACACACCTTAACCTGAAGTCCTTTGCATTAGCAGACCCCAGCTTTTATGAGCCGTCTGACATAGGACTGCTCATCGGTGCTGACCTATTTTGGTCCATTATTGGAACCAAACAGCACTCTTTAGGCAAAGGAAATCCTATTCTACATGAGTCTAAATTAGGATGGCTTATCGCAGGTCCCATGCACTATATTCAAAATGACAATCTCAATTTAAATTCCCCAGTGAAATGTAATTTTGTAAGTATTGAAAGCAACAATACTTTAGTTGAGCTTCACAATGATTTGAAGAGGTTTTGGGAGCTTGAAAGCTTGCCACAAAAGCCCCTTCTTACAGACCAAGAGAAAGCTTGCGAACAACATTTTTTACAGCACACAAAACGCACTGAAGAAGGTCGTTTTTGTGTCAAGCTGCCATTGATCGACAAACCAGACTGCCTAGGCACTTCCTATTTCATAGCCAGGCGGCGATTTATAAACCTGGAACGTCGCTTTCGCAAGCAACCGGAACTTAAGTCCGCCTATGTTGATTTCATTGAGGAGTATCGCAAACTAGGACATCTAGCAATATCTGAGGTAGACCGACCTGAGCTTGCCTATTTTGTTCCGCATCATCCTGTCATTCGTGAAGACAGTGAGTCAACACGTCTACGCGTCGTTTTTGACGCATCAGCTCGCACTTCATCTGGTTTGTCTATAAACGACATTCAAATGATAGGCCCTACAGTTCAAGACTCTCTTTTCAATATCCTCATCCGGTTCCGGCAATATCGTTATGTGTTGTCAGCGGATATTGAAAAAATGTACCGGCAGGTTTTAATAGATGAGTCTGACCGAAACCTACAGCTGATTTTATGGCGTGATGCGGAGGACAAACCATTACAAACACTCAGGCTTAACACGGTCACCTACGGATTTGCTAGCGCTAGTTTCCTTGCCACCAGGTGTCTCTGGCAAGTGGGCGAGGAGTGTGACGATGACGTTATTAAGGCAGTCATACAGGAGGACATATATGTTGATGACTTACTGACTTCTAGCGATGATGAAGATCAATTACGGTCTATACAGAAATCAACACATGTGGCTCTTTCTATGACTGGTTTTGACTTGCGTAAGTACCGATCCAACTTACCTTCTTTACTGCTTTCAGACGTTGTCCAGTCATCCGGCAACCTGACATTGAGTCAGTCTACAAATACGCTGGGCCTAGATTGGAGTCCTTCGACCGACAGCATTAATTTTCCCATTACAGTGGATCAGTCTGACGTCGTCACCAAGCGCACTATACTTTCTTCAACTTTCAAGATCTTCGATCCCTTGGGCCTCCTATCCTTGTCCACTATCGTTCCCAAAATTTTAATTCAGACCTTATGGTCTCTCAAATTGGACTGGGATGAGCCCGCTCCAAAGGATATTGTCGATGTCTGGAGACCTTTTGTTGATGGACTTAAATGCCTTTTTTCACTAAATATACCTAGATGGGTATCAATAGAATATCCAGTCTCTGCTGAAATCCACTGTTTTTGCGATGCATCGCAACGCGCCTATGGTGCATGCTTGTACCTTCGCTCTACAAATAAAGAAGGACAAATACATGTCCAACTTTTATGTGCGAAATCTCGCGTTGCCCCAGCATCCAGCCCTATTACAATTCCTCGTTTGGAGCTTTCAGGTGCTCTTCTGGCAGCTGAAATGAGCTCATCTGTGACCAAAGCCTTGCGACGTAAAATATCGCGTCATGTCTATTGGACTGACTCGAGCGTAGTTCTTAGTTGGTTGCGCTGCGGTTCTTCTAACTTGAAGGCATTCGTTGCCAACAGAGTCGCCGCCATTAGAGAGCTGACTGACGCAAATTCATGGCACCACGTTCCTACAGAACACAACCCAGCTGACCTGCTATCCCGTGGCGTGAACCCACAACAGATCGCTGCATGTGATATGTGGTGGTATGGACCTAAGTTTTTATCGTTGCCGGAGTCCGAGTGGCCTTCTATGCAGTCGCAGACTATTATTGAGATGAAGAATTTGCCGGAAGTTAAAGCACATCCAGTTGCTATTTGTGATAATTATCAATCAATTATTAACTTTAACAAATATTCTAAATTAAAACAATTACAACACATTTTAGCCTATGTACATAGATTTATTAATAACTGTAAAAATTCTAAAACTAAAATTACAGGTTCCTTAACTACCGCCGAGCTCAATAAAACTCTTAATTCATTAGTGTATATTTCCCAATTAGAGGCATTCCCTAAAGAATACGACTTATTATTAAAAGGAAATTCCCTAAGTCCTAAGTCGCACATTTCGGCACTTAATCCATTTTTACATGAAGGAGTGATAAGAGTAGGTGGTCGAATTCAGGCTTCTGCATATAGTTTCGATATGAAGCATCCCATGTTGTTAAGCTCTAAACACCATTTTACTCAACTTTTATTCCAACAAGAACACGTACGGCTTCTACATCTGGGGCCCCAAGCCTTACTGGCTTCTATTAGAACGCGTTTTTGGCCCATTAGTGGAAGAAGTCTGGCTAGACGTACTGTGCATAATTGCACCGTATGTAGGCGTTTTAAGGGTCAGTCTATGAAAAACATAATGGGCAACCTACCTGCTCAAAGACTAATGCCCGACTTTCCTTTTATTACAGTAGGGACTGATTTCGCTGGGCCATTTATGGTCACGGATCGCAAAGGTCGTGGTTGTAAAATTACAAAATGTTATTTGTGTATTTTCATATGTTTTAGGTATAAGTGCATCCATTTGGAGGCTGTTAGTGAGCTGTCCAAGGATGCTTTTATATTAACTTTGAGACGCTTTGTTTCACGGAGAGGGCTACCAAAGCAGATATTCTGCGACAATGGTGGAAACTTTGTAGCTGTTTCAAAGGAACTTAAAGAGTTTTTTGAAGTTAATGCCAAAACTATCGCTAATTTTGCCGCTAACGAAGGCGTTGAATTTTGTTTTTCGCCTGCATACGCTCCTCACTTCAATGGTTTGATGGAGGCCGGTGTAAAGTCAGCCAAATTCCACCTGGCTAGGATATTAGGGACTACGCACCTAACCTATGAGGAATTGTCATCTTTGTTCACACAAATAGAATGTATCCTAAATAGCCGCCCCCTATGTCCATTAAGTTCCTCTCCCACGGACTATTATCCCTTAACTCCGGGCCACTTTTTAATTGGTAGACCACTAAGCTCGCTGCCATCTCCGTGTCTACAATCCGCTAATGCCAATCGTCTCGACAGATTCCAGCGCATCGAGCAGTTTAAGCAACACTTTTGGCGACGCTGGAGCCACGAGTACATTGCGGAGCTGCAGTTGAGGACGAAGTGGCGCACGAAGTCCAAAGAGAGCCTACAAATTGACGACCTAGTCCTCTTGAAAGAGGAAAACGCTCCACCGCTCTATTGGCGTCTCGGACGTGTAAGAAAACTCTTCCCGGGATCTGACGGATTGACACGCGTCGCAGATATAGACACTGCAAGAGGAATTGTGCGGCGCGCCCTAAACAGAATCGTCCTACTACCGAAGCCCGATGAGTTGGAAGATCTTGAAAGCTGTTAAGCTTTCCAGCGCCGGGAGTATGTCGGCGCCGTTACGACAGCACCGGCGGTGTTTGCGGGGAGTATGTGAAGTGCGGGGGGTTTCTCACCGCCACGCCTGGGACCGGCACTCGCCGATAGCTCGCGACCCGATCGCCACCAAATATTTTGTATTTTTCATTCCTTTTAAATATACAATTTACCTATCGTGTGAGTCGCCTATTTTATTCATGTTCCCTAATTGAACACTGAGTTCTTTGAATGTTTTATAGCATATAGTCGTTACTAGAAAATATTCCTTGTATATATTTTTGAGAGTAATTTCTAGCAATACCTTTATACAACATGTAACAAAAACCCTGTGGTTCCCGTTAAGTACGTTATCAGGATCAGTATTCAAGCCTATAGAAATAACTTTAAAAAAAAAAACAACCATATTTTTTATTCTATTTAAAAAAAAAATTATGTGGTTTTATTACCTCTTACTGACACTAGCCGATACTAAAGCTAAGTAAAGCGGGGTCTTTGACATTCCTCTTACTCCCCAGACAATGCAGAGGTAATAAAACCACATACAATTTGCGTTCAATTATTTTTTTTAAATAAAATTAAAAAAAAATTGCTCGTGTTTTTTAAAAAAAAGTTATTTATATACGTTTGAATAATGATTCTGATAACATACTTAACGGGAACCACATGTTTTTTTACATATTGTATTGTTGCGCGCCACTATTAATGTCTTGTACATGGCAACACTAGTAACACTAGCGCCCTCTAGTGTCGAAATAACTGCGAACTAGTGATCAGTGGTAAAATTGTGTTTATTATTAGTGTGATTTTAAGTTGTAATTAGTGTTGTGTAATTAAATAGTCAATTTTGGTAATTCACTCGGCAGTTTTTAATTATCTCGAACCCCAAGCTCATAACAGTATATTTAGTGGAATAAAATTACAATAATAAAATTTACAACTACAATATTTTTAAAATAATTAATAGATTCAGGTGCTACTTTGCGGAACTCCATTATATTAAAGTTGTTAAAGATTAATTTGCTTATATCCGCGTAATGAAATAAAAAATTATGTGTCTTATCTAGTTTGAAGAGCACCTCCCGCCCTCCCTCAATTGCGTGGACTATCCCGTCACCACTAATCTCAGCCATTACTCCCACCACCACTACACTAGAAAAGACACACTACCGTCGATAATACGACACGTGTTTCACCTCTACACGAGGCATCCTCAGGTGAAGTAGATTCTGCGGTGGCTGATTGCTAAGTACTTAGCTAAGACTTACTTAGGTAAGACAACACACACATAATTTTATTTCATTATGCGGATATAAGCAAATGAATTTTCAACAATTTTAATATATTAATATCTTTGACTATACTCACTTAACTTCTTCGCAGTATCTGACCATTATTTCAAAGCTCTTGTAAGCATTTTTACAGCGCTGCTTTTGTTCAGGTGTACGAGCACGCGCTATCTCTGTTTTAAGAAGAAAATCAACGGCATTGCGTTCATTTCGACAGTAATAAATGCGGCAAAATGCCGGTTTACCATCACGACCAGCTCTCCCAGATTCCTGAAATGAATTACTACAAATTAAACTACTGATTGAACAATTGCTAGCGTAAGCTAACACTATGAAAAAGAATGGGATTATAAATGCCATCTCATATATTCACCTCTCGCTTGCAAACTGCCGATGTAGCCAGTAATAACTAATAAGTTTAAGTATTAATTTGTATTATGAAGTATCAATTATTAAAATAGCAAAAATAAATATTATTTGTTAATTGATTTACTTCCCTATTTAATATTAATAATAAATAATTCCCTATTTAATATTAATAAATAATATTATAACAGTGGTAGAGCCACGCGACAGCTTTTGCTGTCGCACGGATGGGCCGGCTCGAACCGGGGTGGTACCACGACCTCACAGAAAACCAGCGTAAAGTAGGGGTTTACCTCTGCGTTTCGCTTGGTGAGTGCAGGTGGCCGGAGGCCCTTTTTACTGGAAATGAGGCATTCCATCTTAGTCCTCACGGGTGACAACGCATCTACATATTGATTTGTGATAGAGGATAGATGTAGATGTCTATGGGCCACAGCAACCACTTACCATCAGGTGGACTGTGTGCTCGTTTGTCACCCTTATCCTATAAAAAAAAATATTAACTTAATAGTTTAAATATATAAATGAATTTAATATACTATTCAATTTTTTTCCAATAACTAAAAATTTCCAAATACTACAAAACAATATACCAACTTAACTTTTAATTAATATAATAATCGTATTATAACTATGTAACGTTATTAGAACCGCTTTCGCTTTACGTACCGTGTATGTTGATAGTACAAACTTAACTTCTTTAATGGCACAAGTAGTACTACTATTTTACTTTTTTTTTCTTTGTTAATAGTCAGTCAGTTACATCTCTCCACAGTGTCTCAAATTGACTCGTTTTTATATGACCTTTTTCAGCTATAAATCTAGTCATTATAATTACAAATACAAAAGTGAAACTCCCTTGTATCGATTTTTAATTTGTTTGAGAGAAAATTAAATTCAAAATACGCATTTTTGGAGGTCGACAATCAGATAAACCTTAGAGCATTTATAAGCAAGCTACAAAGCGAGCGTTAGTGAGTATGAACAGTAAGTACGGGTATGAACAGTCTCGAAATGGTAAGGGCGACGTAACGACGTTATTTGTCACAAAAAGTCACACGCGTTAATTGATCTCGACGGTATTTATTTGAATTTTAAATTACCATGGTGAAATATGCAGTGCCAAGCTGCAAAAACGATTCACGGAAGCAAACTATGAAGAAAATGATATTTCTTTTTATCTGTGTAATATTTCGATAAAACACTGATTTTAACAAAATTACTTAGGGTGACAAAAGGCATATATATCTCGAATTAGAGCTAATGCTGTGCCACGTTGCACTCGAATATTTTTAATAACATCATTTCTTACGTAATTATTAACAATATATACTGTAATATAACCATAGTATTAGAAGTTAAGATCATTTATATTCTTAACCCATATGGATCAATGTCTATAGTAAACTATTTTTTTATAGGTGAATACGGTTAAAATGCTTTTCTATTTTCAGATTTCCGAAAAGCCGTGCTTTGGCAAATAAATGGGTGTTAGCAATAAAAAGGCCCAATTGGGAGCCCAACATCAGGAGTTTCGTTTCTTTCATCCATTTTAGTGCTTCGTATATTTTTGAAAGCAAGGATGTACAGCGCAAGCCAGTTCGAGGTGCAATACCAGAGCTTAAATTTGAAGTAACATTACACTTATTTAAAAGCGCTTGAAAAACTAACTAGCTTCGGCATTTATTAATGTAGGTAATGGGTCTATGGTTCTCTACACTCACCATACGAAACACAGCAGTGTTAAGCTGCCTATTCTGTGAGAGCGTGGTCCTTCCCCGGTCGAGCCGACCCATTCGTGCTACAACTATACTACTAATATAGCTGCAGCATGGCTCTACCACGTATGAAAATACTTAAATACGTATTTGTTAACAATGTAATAAAATTTGAGATATATTTTACCTGGTAATAAGCCGCAACGTTTTGAGCAAGACCCCAATGGGCCACAGCTCGCACGGTGGCTTTATCGACGCCCATTCCAAAGGATACAGTCGCGCACACACAAGGACAATCGCCACTTGACCATCGCTCCTGCACTAATATACGTTCTGACGATTTTAGACCTGATCAACATAATAGAAAGAAATTCATTCACTATACTTGTGTTGACTACATACTATATTATAATCAGGGTAATTTTTAATTTACTGAAGACCTTTTGGGAATATATTATTTACATCATAACAACAACATCTGTAAGAAAAGAAATTATATTTCTTCAATTTTTATTTTCATACAAAAATAAAAATATTTTAATTGGACCTTCTAAACGGCAATAGTCCTAAATAGCAAAATAAAGCGCGTGGCGGGGTAGGGGTGGAGGGGTGTAGGAGGCGGCGCTTGCTCATTTGAACTTGACCTAATTATCTGTGTCGTCAGTCGGTCAGTCGCCTTTTGTGCGCCCGCGACTTTTCTCCTTCCGTTGTGAGATTAATATCGCGAACGTTACGCGTTGTTACAATGGTATACCGATACTCAAATATTGAGTATACCGAAATGGTGCGAATTTTAGCAATTTGCAATGATAACGTTAGTGAAGCCTGCCGTGAATATTTAAGGCGATTTCCCAACTCACGTCCACCGAGCTACGCTACGATGCTAGGTACTACACAGCGATTGCGAGATTACGGGCAATTCCAGCCTGTATCAATCGATCGTGGTCGTCCACCGCGGCGCACAGTACGTGAGCAGGAAGACATACTGCAGTTTTTTGAACAAAATCCAGCAGCGAGCACTTATGAGGCAGCCCGACAGTTCAATGTGTCACAGTACTACGCATGGAGTGTCATACACAATGAAGGGAAGTACCCTTTCCACTTGCATCGTGTTTATGAACTCAGCGAAGCTGACAAACCAGCGCGAGTTACATTTTGTAACTGGTTACTAGCTGCTGAACGAGCCAACATTTTATGGACTGATGAAGCAACATTTGGCAGAATAGGACTATTTAATTCGCACAATGAACACTTGTGGTGCTATGAAAATCCACATGAACCAAGACCGCATAGCTTTCAACACCGGTTTAGTGTCAATGTGTGGGCAGGCGTCATTAATACAACGTTACTGGGCCCGGTCTTCATAGAAAGATTAAACGGTGAAAGCTATCATAGTTTTCTCACCAACACGCTGCCAGAGTTGTTAGAGGACATACCACTTGCATCTCTACGCAATATGTATTACCAACATGACGGGGCGCCGGCACACTATGCTCGCCAAGTTAAGGATTATTTAAACAGAGAATACCCTGGTCGCTGGGTCGGTCGAGACGGGCCTTGTGCATGGCCTCCCAGATCGCCAGATATCACACCAATGGATTTTTATTTGTGGGGGCATGTAAAGACATTAGTGTATACTGGTCAAGCATTCGAAACCCGCGACATGTTGAAAGAAAAAATAATTTGGGCATTCGATCAAATCAAAATGAATCATCAAGTATTATCTCGTGTCGGTGAACAGTTAAGTTTTAGGTGTCACCTATGCATAGAATGTGGAGGTGATTATTTTGAACTCTATGTGCGCGATACTCACCGCCATCCGCGGACAAGTACCTAGGTAAGTCTAATTTTTAAATTTGTATTTTAATATTTTTATTGAACCATTATACCTTAATATCTTTATTCAATTACTGTTAATTTGTATTTAATCATTATAAATATTTTATTGTAATATTTGTAATTATTTTAACCTGCATCCATTTTTTAAATACAACTTACATTAAATAAAAAAATAGTTAATAATACTCATTTAATTTGCACGTGCTGCAAACATCGATCACCAAATCGATGCCTGCAAACCGAAAAGGGCAGGCGGCGCCTTTGATGACGGTGACACCTGTGTCGACGTTATAATATATCGTTGGCTTGGCCTTGGGCCGCCGCATGTGCGACGTTGAGGCGTTGCCTCTTGGATGCAGGCAGAGTTGCTAGCAAACAGTATTCGTAAAAAAACTACCTAAATGTCTATTAAAGAATGTCTATTAATTCTTAAAGAAATTAATAAAAGAATCAAATAGTTCATCAAATGGTTTTATGCAAAATAAAGAAGTATATGAAAAGTTAATGTAAAGTCATTTAAAGTGGCGCCCTGGTGCAATAGGCACAGTGATGAATGGTTTAGCAGGCTCTCGTAACTAGGGTTACCATATCTCAGGATTTGTCCTGAGATTTCAGGATTTTTAGACTCTTCTCAGGATTGTGGCTAGATTTTGCAAATCTCATGAAATCTCAGGATTTTTAGAACTTTCAATGTAAGCTGTATTATAGTAAAAGATCTCTTAATAAAAAGTTAAACAAACTAAAAATAATTTTCCTTTGGTAATAATTCCACAATTAAAATCAAAACGTAATTATCCAAGTAGGTACTTAAACAGTTTTATCATACTTAATATGTGAAGATACCTTTTTAAGTAAGGTTTTCTTCTCAAACTGTAAAACAATCTCAGGATTTTTAAATGGAAATCAGGCCTCTTCTCCGGACTTTTAATTTTTTCATCTGGTAACCCTACTCGCAACGCAATCAGCTGAGCGCGGGCGTCGACCAGCCCGGCGGTCATTCTTACTTATTATAAATTTTAATATTTGTGGTTTTTTTTGAATGTCATTTGCTCATTTAGTTATGTTTAATGATTTCAACACAATGTTTGATACTGTATCAAGTGTAAAAATTTAGGCATTTTCTTTGACGATTTATTCTGACATTGTTTAGGTACTACAAAATACAGACTTAAAAGGAGTCAGACATGACAACAAAACCTTAAAAGTAGTTTTTTTCGTAAATGTATTATATTCTGTGAAGAGTGATCTCACTAAAATTGTTTGTAATGATGTAACCAATATATTCCCAAAAGGTCTTCAGTAAATTAAAAATGACCCTGTATATCTTCATCTTAATTCTCATTCATCCTAATTATTACCATCTTAATTCCAGACCTATCTAATAGTAAGTGTCTACAGTATTCCGTGGGCAGCTGTAACTAGCTTCAATAAATAAGGCCACGGAAACGTTATTTCACGTAATGACTAAGAAGAAATACCTCACAGCCTAGTTCTACTGGCACTTTTTTAAACCAAAACACAGCAGTGGATGCACTGTTGCATAGCGGCAGAAATACATAAAAGGGTGGTACCAACACAGATGGACTTTTAAGCTAAAAAGCCGTCCTACCAGTCAGTTCATCAAGGACTGCTTCATGCAGAGTAACAATCTTGAATAATCATCTTACCACCTAGGTTATATACCAAAACTCAATATCTCTAAGCTTTAGGGAGAAATCAATGTACAGCAGTTAACTGTTTATGGCCTTACAGGAACGGGCAAATGGTTTTGACTCCTATGGGACAAGATGAGGTGACAGATTATTTTCAGGATGGACTTTATAGCAAAGTTGTTGATAGGCATATATATCCTTTTATAAAATGTTGCAGCTAAAAGATATTTACATCTAAAAATAAACTTCAATACCTCCATGATATGCTAATGACTTAAGACCCCTTTTGTTTAACATGTGAGCTAAGTCTTCAGTTTGTTCCCGAGTTCTGCAATAGACAATTACAGCATTTTTGTCTCTCTGAAAAAATAAACAATAGTACCATTAGTGAAATTTAAAATAATAATATAATACAATAAAACATCTACTTACTGGTTTTACATTATCATCTTCTTTTAAACTTTTTTTTAAAAATTCACACAGGTCACCAACTTCGTCCTCAATACAGTTCTGGTACACAACATCATAATACAGATTTTTTCGAAAACTTGGTGTTTTGTATTGCGCAACTGGTTGTAATAATTTAAGGTTAGACAGAATATCTTTTGCAACTTCCGCACTGGCTGTTGCAGTGAGCGCTACCCATGGTATACTTTTGTAACTTTCCCTTAAGTCACCTAATTTTAAATAATCAGGTCTGAAGTCATGCCCCCATTCACTGACGCAGTGAGCTTCATCTACAACTATATAAGACACTTTCTTATACTTGACTAGATGCTCCAAAAGACTTTTAAATGTGCCAGTAGCAGCTTGTTCGGGTGTAACATAGAGGAATCTTGTATCAGGTTTCAAGCTTCTTAAATCATTAATTACCCTTTCTCTATCTTTGGAAGTCATTTTGGAGTTTATGGATTCAGCTTGTATTTTTAATTTTGTTAAATGATCAATTTGATCTTTAATAAGTGCTAGTAAAGGTGAAAATACAATAGCAACCTTGTTGTCCTGCAGCATTGCTGGCAACTGGAAGCACAAAGACTTTCCAGAGCCGGTAGGCATTGAAACAAATACATCATGGACACCTGAAAGTAATTGTATAATATTTACGAATGAGTTAAAATTTATTCAAAATGTTTGCTCACTTTTTTGCAAAATATTCTTTTAATTGATTTCTAATAGTCATAAATTGCGTATATTTATAATTAAAAAATTACTTGTGTGTATTTTATCACAATACCTTAATGACTTAGTTTTCTAATGTTATATAATATTATGAATTTACAAAATATAAATTACCAAATTAAAATAAATAATAATTTGTTTATTTTTTTGTAAAGTGTGACATTTACCATCCAGGGTTTCATCACCACTTACCACCAGGTGCGATTGTAGTCAAGCACTGGCTTATTTTAACTAAAGAATATTAAAAAAAATATTATGTATTTTGTATTTCTATATACTTAGTAATTTAATTACATTTTGTTAGTTTCAAATATTATGTAACATTGGAACAGTTATATGAGGTGTGTTCAGAAAATAACTGGGAATTTTAAATTTTGTGGGTTTGGAGAGTCCGATTATCAATTTTGTTTTATTATGTTGTTGTACATGCCCCTAAAGTATGATAAAATTTTCAGCTGTGTTTATTGTTTAATTTGTCTGTAGCAGCCACTAAGGTTGGACATGTTTTTATGAGCTCGGTGGTTTTCGTTTGTTAAAAGAAATGGATCAAATAATTTGTATCCAATTTTTTGACGCCGACGATCGCCGAATCACAATCGGAGAAGTCGCTGATAATGTTGGTATATTGATTGACTCATGCCATGAAAGTTATTCGAATGTTTTGGGTATGAAACGCGTAGCAGCAAAGTTTATTCCAAATTATTGAAATTTGAACAAAAACAGTGGCGAATGGAAATTGCTCAGGAGTCATTAAATGAACTCAACCACAATGCAGAATTACTTAAACTTGTTATAACAGGTGACGAAACATGCGTTTAAGGATATGACGTCGAAACTAAGGCTCAATCGTCCCAGTGGAGGCACTCTGGCTCGCCAAGACCAAAAAAGGCTTCACAAGTGCGGTTGAATGTGAAGGTTATGCTCACTGTGTTCTTTGATTTTAATGGCATAGTGCATCATGAATTGTTGCCACGAGGTCATACGGTCAATAAGGAGTACTACCTACAAGTTCAACGCCTATTGCGTGAAACAATCTGAAAAAATCTCCCAGATTTGTGGAAAAACGAAAAAACAAATATTCACATTATTTTCTGAAAACACATCATATTACCTTTTTAGTAAGCTTATTCTAATAAGTTTTTTTATTGTCAAAAATTTATATAAAAAAATATTTGCATCTACTGCAAGAAAAAAATGCAGGGTGGAAAGAAGACTCATCTACATCCCTTACTTTAGTATAGCAACCCCAAATTTTTAAAAAGGGGTTTTAAAATGATTTAGGTTGTACAATCTAATACATAAAGTGAATTTTTGTTTATATGAAGACTAACAACTTCTATGCATTCCTATTCCCGCTCACCTTTAGATTAACTACTCAAAGTTAGCACTTTCAAATTACTACTTTCTTGTCTGTCTAATTTATATAAAATTAGATACCATTTCAATAGAAAAGGATAGTAATATACTACGTAGTAGTAATCAAAACTCCTTCCATAATTTTTTTTTATATATGGATGATGGTAAGTGGCTACAGAGCTGAACACTGCTTAGCTATTTCTAATGTTTTGTGTTGTTAATTGTGTAGTATACATGATTGTAAGCTATTTTTTTTAAACTCCCGCTGGGTTTCTTGCTGGTTCTTCCCAGGACAGAGGTATTTTTCCGAACCAGTGGTAATTAAACAAAAGAGTGACTTTCATTATGTATTATTTATGACTAGCTGTGCCCCGCGGTTTCACCCGCGTCATCACGTGTCGGACGTGCGCGACATGACCTAGTTAAGCATTTTATAATTGCAATTAAATATTTTATTTGATAGCAATGGATAGAAAAATTGGCATAATTAATGGAGTACTTTTATCTGTCGGCATATTATGTATAATGTAGAGTGAAGTTAAGTTTTATCCACTTTCCCTCCCCCTCCCGGTTGGGCAGTTCTCGCAGTTCTCACCGGGCGGCTAGGGTTTATGTGTCGTTCACGCGCCCAACCAAGTATTGAATTATTTTAATTTTACATTATCTCTTAAACTATGCGTCCAAATAACATGGTATAAAGAACAAAGTTTATCTTCATAAAATTGTCTTGATGATGAAGTAACTTTTATTCGTAAGGATAAATAGGCCATGCCTAATAATAATGCTCATAAATCACTTTTAAATTTTCAATATTTTTTTGTCACAAAATACCTAATTATGGCTTATGTATAAGAAATAGACATATGGTATCAAGGACTTTTTTTTATACGGAGTAAAGATCTATATTTTTCTAGAACATTGTATTTACGTATCCCTAACGTTAACACCAGCGTACATGGATAAATCATTTCGGGAGTGCATTTTCTTCTGACTTGCTTAACAAATATCCATGTTTAAGGCTAGCTGAGTGATATAGCTTTATGCTAGATAGCCTATACTATTCCACATGAATCTGGCTGTAATATACAAAAAGAATTTTTCAAATCGGACTGGTAGTTCCAGAGATTAGTGCGTTTAAACAAACAAAAAAAGAAAAAAACTCTTCCGCTTTATTGTATTAAAAAGTATAGATCTATATTGAATAAAAAAGTTTTTGTTTCTGTTTTTACAGTTCTTGGACACATTGATGCATTGTCACCACTGAGGACTAAGATTGAATACCTCACAGACTGTAATTATACTGGCTCTCTATACCTTTGACTTGAACACAGCAGTGCATAGACTGATATTTGGCGGTAGGCCTTAGTGTTTAGTTATTTTTTTCTTTTGATTATTTGGTATGGTTGAAACAAAACAGAAACTTTTTTATTCAATATAGATTATAAATAATACTTATTGAAAGTCACTCTTTTGTTTAATTACCACTGGTTCGAAAAAAAACCGGCTTAGCTATCCATTGACTCCCGTCGAGTTTGGGGTTGATACATATTTTTACAGAAAAGTTACACTATTATAAGCACACACACAAAGTTAGAACATGCGGAAACGCGTAATTTTTGAGAAAAAAGTTGTTGAAAGTCAAATATTCTTGCATTGTTTATATCTAATCCTACCATAAAACTGACGCCATTTTGTAATGTCATTGTCGTCAGTAGGGATGTCGATTCTTTCCGAAAAGGGTCGATTTTTAAATAGATTCAAATCGTAAGCTGATGTATCGATTCATAAAAAATCGATTTCTAAAATATCTATATTTTTTTATGTTTGCATTTATAATGTAAATATAATTCCATTTTATGAAAAACAAGAAAGATACCATAATAAATGATCTCTTATTGAATTTTGTTTTATTTTAACAGTACCAATTAGGGCAGATAACATATAAAATAGGTTAGGTTCAACTTAAGTCAAAGAACCGAATTGATTGACCCCGACTCCACCTGGTACGAGTCTGTCCTACCCCTAGAGTAGTTTTAAAGAGCCGGAGGCGCGTAGGGGGAGCAGCCTCCGTCTGCTGTAACAAATCGTAGGCATCGGAGGGATGCCTGCGATTTGTTACGCTAAGGCGTAGAGGCTGCTCTTCCCGCAGCGCCGGAGACGTAGCAGTCTCAAAATAGATACAGAAATCCTTCTGAATCAGTCCCCCTATATTTTATGATGAAGGGGATTTTTTTCTCATAAAATGGATTTATATTTACATTATAAATGCAAACATGAAAAAAAATATAGATATTTGAGAAATAGATTTTTTGGGAATCGATACATCAGCTTACAATTCGAATTGATTTAAAAAATCGATCTTTTTCGGAAAGAATCGACATCCCTACTGACAATAACAATAATAAAATGGCATCAGTTTTATTGTAGGATTAGACATAAAGAATGTAAGAATAATTGATTTTCAATAACTTTTTTCTCAAAAATTACGTGCTTCCGCATATTGTAACTTTGTGTGTGTGCTTATAATAGTGTAACTTTTCTGTAAAAATAGTCCACACAATCAAAGCATTGGCAAAAAACTAGTCACACAAACATTTTATGTTTTTATACACCAAAGTATAATAATTCCATGTATGACTATCAATGTTTTTCATTAAAATGTTGTTAATATCATATGTCCCATAACATAAGTAAGTTGTTCAATGAGTTTTTGAATGACTGGTATAAATATTCTTATAATAAGCCTATAGAAAAATGTTCACAGACTACCTAATTGTTCTAAATCAAAAGTTAATGAACTGTTCTAGTGTTAGTGTAAATTTTTTATCATTTTGGCTAATCAAACTTGTTTGCATAACACTTGTCTAAGTAGCTTATACTGTATCAATGCCATGAAATGATAAGTTTTCAATTGTGAGTCAGAATATTAAATATACACGAATCTGTTGCGTTCTAACAGTTTCAAAACAATGACTCCAATATAATAAAAATAGTTAAGCATTATTTTTTCATGTTTTACTTCAAATTTTTATTAAAATCGAAGTAAAAATGGAAATAAAAAGTAATATAACTGCAAGTGTGGTAGCATTACTATAATGCAGCCAATTTAAAAATATCACATTTATAGCTGTCAATTATGTTGTTATTGCGCACAATACAATTCAGATCCTTAGGAATTTAAAAACGAAGTTAACTAAATAAACCTTTTACCTCTAGCAATAGCTCGAATTGCTCGCTCTTGAAGCTCACTTTTAAACTTTCGATGTCCAAAACATTCCAATAGTTTTTCAGTTACGTTATCCATCACGAAACTTCACGTCACAGTGATATTACAGGTATTCTTTTATCATTATAATACTTTAAACTAAGAATTAGATAATTATTGTTAAGCATACTGTTAAAATAATAAGTCCAAATTCTAAAATTCTGCAACAATAATAATATAACAACCTCAAAATAATATTTTCTTTGCTTTGAAATAACTTGACATTTTCGCGACCCTAAATAAACTCTTTTTTTTCTTTGTTAATAAACTTGTACGCTTGTAATTTTGCCAGTGTCAAATATTAGTCGAGTTCTCTAAGCAGACATATTATTTTGAGGTTCACATCACCATCGGAACACTTGCTTCATCATTTCCATTATTAGAAAGACATTTAATAAATAAAATCGTTCATCGCTTTTGCGTATAAAAATCTGCTACAAATTAAAAAAAAAACATTTCTTGTCTTCAAATCAAAATCAAACGTCAGAACACCAGTGATACCAACTAAAAGGTGCCAATCTGTTTCGTTTATAAAATATCAATTCAAATCGTAGATAGAGATTTCTCTGTCTACGATTCAAATTAATACATGATATTATAAGTCCTTATATAGGTATGTGGTTATTTGAATTTATGTAGAAAATTTCAAACATTTTTTATGCTAATTACATTTTTACCCGACTGCAAACGAAGGGTTATGATCTTCACTTATATCTTGTATCTATGTTTGTAAATTTCTTTATTACCTCGTATCTTCCAAACGGCTGAATGGATTTCGACAGTTAAGATACTATCGTTGTATTCGTCTTAAGACGCTACTCCTAGCGAATGACCTTAAGCATTCAGTCCGCCGACTCGCGCTACAATATATCGCGTACGAAATCTGCAAGACGCCACCTACTGTACGAACGTAGTATTATTTTTTCAACATCAATAAACTATTTTATGGAAATAGACACGGCAGACAATGATAAATGTATTTTCATTTTTTTTATTCGGTAGGTATATTAGTTGCATTATATTAAAATTATGTATTCTCACATATTATCTAATTAATAAAAATTATACCATTTATTTCGAACGCCCAGGAAGGTATCTAATCTAACATGAGAAAATGAGGCATTGAAAATAGTGAGTGTGAAAGATACCTACTCACTATAGGTAAATAGATAGGATGTTTTGCGGATGTGTTTTTTGATTATTGTTACCTACAAATTTTTGAACTGAGTACCTTGTAACTTAGCCTGCTTATTACTTATGCTGGCTGATATTATCCTCATCCCAATGATTAATTAGGATGAAAAAAACATATTTGTTTTTATTTTTATTCAATTTTATTTCTATATATTATGTAATTATATTTACTTATACATAAGGGTTATAATAAACCAACCAGAAGTGTAAGGGTTATAGGTGAAGTGACCTTACGTCCCGTTTTGAAAGGGACTGTCCCTTTTCTCGGTTACCTGTCCCGTTGTCCCCAAACAAAGCTCCGGGACACAAAATTGTCCCGTTTTCCGAAACCACGCGAAAATTTATATCTATGAAGTTTGTCAGACGTTACGTCAGTGCGAGAGCGGGACCGACCAAAAATAACCGAATGGGATAATTTAAAAGTTTCCGCAAAAACTCGTTGGATGGAATTATTCAAAATCTTGGCGATGTTGATAACAAAGGTAACAATAAAAAAAAAACTTGCCCAGAATTTTATTCTTATTTAAAATCATCACCAACTTAATTAAAGCAAATTTGTTCCACTGACAAATGTAAATAGTAATAAAAAAAATATGTTGCATTTAATAATTACCGTCTGAGGAATTTCGCTTTAAAGAAGCTGGTGAAATGGTGATTGATTTTTATTTTTCACAATTTGTTATAAAAAATAATTATAATTAATGTGAATATTATTTTACAGTGAACACTAATTGTATAAAGTTATAGTTTTTAGAGTATAAATAAACCAATGTCCCGTTTTGAGTTAAAAAATAAATGGTCAGTTTAGTTATAGGGGTTTTTGGGTTGTAATTATATGATGTCCGGGTAGGTATTAGTACCTACTCAGTAAGAGTAGGTAACTATTTAGATAAGTACCTTTTATCTAATCATAATACCTACATAGGTACCTATTGTGATTAGTTATACTGGGTAGGTATATTCATACCTACTTAGATACTTTTTACCGAATTACTATACCTACTAAGATATTATGGTTAGGTTAGGTTAGGATATTTTATAGGATTATTTTTAATAGAATATTTATATTTATTTAGAATATCCTAATAGGATTATTTTTAATTATATACTATATTGCTAATATTGAATTAGGTTTTTATAGTGTAAATTATAATATTTGTCAAAATGTTAATTATGGATTTGAACCTTACATGCTAATGGTGCTTCATTTTTTTATTTGCATTTACTTCAAAGAAAATACACGCAAAAAGCTTCATCGCGCAGTGAAAAACACAACAAATATATAACTAATACAAAAAATTATACCCAAAACAAACAAATAATACTAGCTATAACTAACCTAATAAGTAATAATATTATCGACTGATAAGATGACGTGATTTTTGAGCGGACTAACTGAGAAGAGGGTAGAAGGCCAGAAGAGGGTGTACTCCAGAGCACTTCTATTCTATACATAATAAAAAAACAAAGTCGCTTCCCGACGTCTCAATTTCACTTACATTCTAAAGCTCCATTTTTATATAAGTTAGCCAAATAACTATTTTAAAACGTCCTACAAGGAGGCAGAGCGATCCAAGGGGTCAATCATCCCAATTAATTGAATAATTTTTTGCGAGCTTTAAAGCGTGCCGACGGGAAGTCTGGGAGTATTGTTGACTGATTTTAACGATATTATCTAACATATACATACATAAAAATCTACTGGAAGAATTAACGTGATGTGAGCAATGTTTTTACGTACCTATCTTGATTACCTTATACCTGGAAAATAGTCCTCTGGCCAAGATAGCAGGTAGCGATGCGATCATAGTGCATACTAATACTAGTCAATACTACACATTTCGTTCGTCAGAAAATAAGTGACGTCTGGTGGGTCTGGGATCTTACCTGGTGATCTGGGATCGACGAAAAAGCAAAATCATTCATTCATTAACATTTTTAAAAGCAAGATGTCGAACTTAAAACTAGCGTATAATATTTTTATTTTTATCAGCCTATATAAGATAGTAGAGGCCTATGTCCATGGCTGGACATGGGCCTCTACTATCCTATTAAATGGGGAATTTCCACAATTGACACGATATGCAAGCGAAATGTCGATCGCAGTACCCATATTGAGCACAAAGAGCAATTTCATAGTAAGTGTTTAGCTACCTTGTACTGTTCAATATTGTATTCAGTGTTACAGCCTATACACTTACATTCTACTACTGGGCACAGGCCTCCTCTCATTTCTGCTCCGATGCGCGTTGGCGAACTTCACATACCTATGTCTTTGAAATATTCTTTTTCTTATTTATCAGACATGCAGGTTTCCTCACGATGTTGTCCTTCACCGTCGAGCACGTGGTAAATCAGCACTTAATTGCAATTAACTATTTTATTAGTGCCGGTAGGGATCAAACCTGGTTTGCTCGCGTGTTGTGAAATATACAGCGAGCGCTTAGCCCCTGAGCTACTACGGCTCTCTAAGCTACCACGGCTCAGTTACTCTATTTAGTGGTTTACCTTAAATCATTGTATATTTTATCAATAAGAAAAGGCGAAATTATTGTCATTTGTTTTTAGGTTCCTTTCTTATCTAGCATTTATACAAAATGAGTAAGCGAAAAAATCCTTGTGAATCAGAAAACTTAAATGCAGATTTTTGCGAGTTTTTAATGGAACTAGCAGAATACGAAAAAAATGTAAGCCGTAACATACACAAATTTAATGCATACAGAAAGGCAGCAGGAGTATTAGCTTCGCTTTCAAAGAGAATTGAATCTGGTGAAGAGGCTAAAAAGTTAAATGGTATTGGCGAAAAAATTGCAAAGAAAATTGATGAGTTTATCCATACAGGAAAATTAAAAAAGCTGGAAAATATACATCAAGATGAAAAAGCACAAGCAATCAATATGCTAACACGTATTTCAGGAATAGGCCCAGTAAAAGCCGCAGAAATGGTGAAAAACGGAATCAGAGGTATCGACGACCTTGAAAAATATAAGCATTTATTAAACCATCATCAACTCATAGGATTGAAGTAAGTATACATAAATTTAATAGATATTGTACTAGTGGCGTAACGCTAGCATGGGTGGCACCTGGTGCGAATATCGTGGTGTCATCAGAATAATGAAAACTGTAAAAATTAATAAATCCGATAAACGTAAGTTATGATTCTATTCTATCAATTCAAATGATATTCGTCAATAATCAAGTTATGATATTATAATAAAAAAATCAAAAATGTTTGTAACATAACATAGGTCGGGACGACAGTAAAGATAATAAAATACTTGGGTCAGGCAACTCCGCTCTTTCGTAACCCCTGCGTTCCTTATAAACTAAATGAAACTAAACATTACATAAGCTTGTGTTTGTGTTTTTGTATGTACACACTCACACACACACAAGTACACGTGCGTGAGCGCATAATATTTATAATACTGTAGTTTTTTTTTGTCAAACCATAGGGGCTTGACCACAGAATAAATTAGTACTACGTACAGAAGTTGCACTCCATTGATGTTGACTGCGTGCCGACGTTTTAATAGCCTACATAACTATTATTAATCAGATAAATCGCGTACGCAAGCTAAATAAGACTTTTAAGCTGCGCGCGAGTGTTCGTATTCCTTTGCATCTTTTCCCCTTCCTACGTCATGACGGACTGTCCGTAGTTACTAAGGACTGTTAATAGAGAGTAAAAAATACATTGTGAAATTATAAGTAAGTTACTTAGGTAAAGTACCTATTCTGACTATGATCGACTAAACTATATGAGTTCTGTGATATCCAACGCTTGCAACTTGCAAGGTCATTAGTCGGGAATCGCGATGTTTGGCTCGGAAGAAATAGGT